GAAATTTTCTCTACAAATAAGTTTTTAAAAGTAACCAAACCAAACAAATTTTCCCAAAAAAATTTCCCAAAACTTGTAAACCAAACAAGTTTTCCAAACAAATCTCTCTCTCACACACATCAAATCAATCACTTTTTCCAAAACTCTATCTCAAAATAATTTTCCAAAACATCTTTTAAAAAAAACCAAACCAAACATGTTTTCGTACTTTTTATCTCTAAAACACATCTCTCAAACACAAACCAAACATACCCACAAAATTTTATTATTAGCCATCTCAATTACACAAGCATCGCCCGTATCAAATAAGAGTAATGTTAGACCCTAAATATTCTACCAAAAGTTTTACCAAATGTCTCACATGGGTGTGGGACCCACACAATGTGGGTCCCATGTGGGTCCCACACCCATGTGAGACATTTGGTAAAACTTTTGGTAGAATATTTAGGGTCTAACATTACTCTTATTTGATACGGGCGATGCTTGTGTAATTGAGATGGCTAATAATAAAATTTTGTGGGTATGTTTGGTTTGTGTTTGAGAGATGTGTTTTAGAGATAAAAAGTACGAAAACATGTTTGGTTTGGTTTTTTTTAAAAGATGTTTTGGAAAATTATTTTGAGATAGAGTTTTGGAAAAAGTGATTGATTTGATGTGTGTGAGAGAGAGATTTGTTTGGAAAACTTGTTTGGTTTACAAGTTTTGGGAAATTTTTTTGGGAAAATTTGTTTGGTTTGGTTATTTTTGAAAACTTATTTGTAGAGAAAATTTCCCAAATTTTTTTCAGAAAATCAAACCAAACGAGCCCTTAATTTTTCTTCCATCCACTTATTCATCGTCGCAACCACCACTCTCAATTCTTCATTATCACCGCCACCGCCACCGCTTGTAGCTCATCTCCTTCCATTCTAGACTTTTACAATCAACCTCAAAGGTGGGTGGTTCATGGCAAAGGGCTTATGAAAATGTATAGTTAATGATAGAAGGTGGTTGAAAGCGGAGAAGGAAAGAGATAACATGAGGGGATTCCGTCTCTTCTCACCTTTCATCTCTTTGTTCTTGATTTTTTCACCGTGTGTGTGTGTGTGTGTGAGAGAGAGAGAGAGAGAGAGAGAGAGAGAGAGCACTAGTGATGAAAGATGGTTGTGATCTTTTAGGACTAAGGTTTGGGTGAAATAAGATAAGAATATTTTGATATTTTATTTTAAGATAAAATTATATTAATAAAAAATTTATTAAACATGTGAACCGAAAGAAATTAGAGAGTGTTTGGGATGATTTAAATAACTATATATTTAATTTTTTACGAAAAGATATGTAAAAAAATAAAAATATAATGTAATCTAAAAAATATGAAAAAATAAATAAAATGTACTAAGGTCTCGTTTGGCAAGTAACTGTTTTAGCTTAAAAGTCAAAAGTTATTAAAAAAATCAAAAAGCCTATAACTTATACTAAAAAGTCAAAGATTCTCTTTTATTTTTACTTTTTACACATCTTTTCATAAAAAATTAAAAAATTACTTTAAATATATTAATTTTTTTTACCTCATATTTTAATTAAAAAATTAAAAAATTACTAAAATAACATGCTACTAAACGAGAGCTAATAGAGGAGATGCCAAATAATTCCCGTGTATCAATAGTCCGAATCTCCGATTCGTTAATAAACGGGCCAGCCCGGAAACACTAAAATACGCAGGTAAGCGCAGTCAACCCTTCAAAACCCTAATGCACTCTACAAGTGGCCATATAAATTCCTTAACGATTCGATCGAGTCCCTTCTCTGCGAAGACCTTTGAAGCTAGGGTTTTTCCACCAAGGAGATGGTACTCTCTCTCTCTCCCTTGATCTGCTGAAGAACTTGTATAGAGAATGAATGAGTGTGTATGTATGTATAAGCTAAGATGTTTGAATTGGAAATTTGAAACAGGGAAAAGGAACAGGAAGCTTTGGAAAGAGGAGGAACAAGACTCACACCCTGTGTGTGAGATGTGGCCGCCGTAGCTTCCATCTCCAGAAGAGCCGATGCTCCGCTTGTGCCTTTCCCGCCGCCCGCAAAAGGACTTGTTAGCTCTCTCTCCCTCTCTCTACATATATACATACATATATATATATATATATATTGTCATTTTTTGTGTTTTGGCTCGAAATGTTTATTATGATATTGTAAGATTGATGTATGATCGATTTTTCTTATGCTCGTCGATACGATTTGTTATACAGATTCAGTTTTTATTATGAATTATTTTTATGTCAAGTTAATGGATGTAACAAAAATGAGTTGATTGTGTTTTGTTTACACTTGCAAATTAAATTTGCTCCTCAACTAAAAATTGGTACATTTTAGCTTCTTAATCTATTGATTTGTTTCAATTTCAAGTTTCTCTTAATTCTTCATGAGAAAGAAAAAATTAAAATGGATTAATTTTTTGGAATAAACTATATGGAACCCAGATTTTCAATTGGTGTATACTTGTACGATTTTTTCGCTTGGGCTTAGCTTATTTGCTTATGATTTTTCAATATTCCTTTATTTTTTAATCATTGTCATTTATTCATCTTGTATACTTCAATGAATTCTCTTCATTTCTTTTCTAATTGCTATTATGTTTCTTATTGATTTCTGGTTGCTGAAATCTTAAGCAATATCGTAATATACTTGATGCTGCGTTTGATATCAATTTGTGATTTCCTTGTTTTTCTATATGTTTATTTATCTGCAAATTGATGCCCATTTAATTTTGGTTGTGGGTGTGTCCAAGAATCCAATCTTCATAAATCTTAATCTTTGGATATTGGGATATGTATCCAAAAGTTGGATATGTGTATGAAGATGCGTCATGGACAAAAATATCATATAATGTATATTATTTTTGGATAAAATATTTTAAATTATGTAGAAATGTATTTGAAAGTAAGTAGGATTTAAGAAAAATATGAAATTTTCATTTCTCTTCTCCATGGTAGACTAGAAATGTTTCTTTACAAGCAAATGTGAGTTTCTTCTTCTTTGAATGTTGTAAAAAATTAGAGGTACCAAGTGTCTAAATTGAGTACGACTGTCGTATATATATCCCACACCATTACCCTTGTGATATTCAATGGACATGCTTATTTTAGTAAAAATAGAAAAGTTCATATAACACAGTTTAAGGCTCATGAAATATGATCTTCGGACTTTTATGGAAAAACAATAGTCATCATGTCAATAGTTGCTGATCTTTGACTGCATTGAGTTTGGATTCAGATAACTGGAGTGTGAAGGCAATTCGAAGGAAGACCACTGGAACTGGTCGCATGAGGTATCTCCGTAATGTTCCCCGCAGGTTCAAGAGTGGCTTCAGAGAAGGTAAAGTTTTCCATCTTTGAAGGGAATTGGTCTTTGTTTTTATTAATTCCATTTAGTCCTAATTTTGGTTTCACTTGTTAAAAAATATCTAGTTTTGGTTTCGTTACATTTTTTTTTTTTTTTGGTTAGGTACTGAGGCTGCTCCAAGGAAGAAGGGGGCTGCTGCAGCCTCGTAAGGTTTTCATTGTGTTCTTGGTTTTCATTGTCTTAAATTTTGCAAGAAGCACAATTTTTGGATTTTGTCTACTCTGTTACTTATTATCAGTCACAAATTGTTATTGTTTTGGATTAATGAGATTTTAGTGCTTTATTTTGACAATGTAAGTTAAATTACTTTTTAAATTTCACTCCATGCCTTATTATTGTTATGAATTTCATAATGATGCTGCACCATTTGGCTTGACAAAAACTAACATGAAGGATAGTTTGACATTATGTTTTTGCTGTTGAGGAATATTTTTTTTTTAAATAATAAAATCATTGAGGGATGGTTAGGAGAATTTGAGAAACCCATTATAACAAGTTCATGCATTTGGTGATTTAGTTGTACTATCTACGCTGTTTTGTTCTTATTTTTGCATATCGAATTTGAAAGTGGTTCCTTCTTTTGTTGTGTATATTAATCATTTCTATTACATGGTTGTAATAGAAGATTTTTATTATATTATTCAATAAATATAAAATAATCATGTAAATTTAGCATTTTTTTAAATTAAGAAAAAGCCATTACAATTATTGACAAGATTATTTTACAATCATCTAATGATGATGTAATAGAAATGCTGTTAGTCTTCCTGTGTGATATTTGACAATTATGGAAAGTTGCATTATTTGCTGCTGTTTTTTTTTTTTTTCCCTTTGGAATAATGTTGAACGTATTAATTAGTGTATTAATAGATGATATGCCAATTTTAGAGGTTTTGAATTTTTATAATTTGTATGATGGGTGAGGTCATAATTTTAAAATGACAATGTCATAATTATATTGGTAACATTAATTAATATATTAATTGGTGTATGTAATATCACCACCGTTTTCCTTCCGACTTGGAAGAGTTTCTTTTAGTTTGTGTTTGGATAGGTAACGATTTGGAGGGAATGAAAAAAAAATAATAATAGTTTATTTCTTATTTACATTTTTTTTTCTTCTTTTGTTTTTTGGTTTAAATTTCTACTCAGATTGAGTTAATATATATGGGTAAATTACAATAATACCCCCTGAAATTTATTCCCTTATTTGTATAAAAGGCAATAACTATTAATAGAAAAACAGAATAAATTACATTTAAAAATATAAAAAGTAAAGCAAAGGAAAGAGAAAAAAAATAGAGGAAGTAAAACAAAGCAAGAAAAGAGAGTGCATAAATTTAATGTTTTCATTCCGCCTAAATAATTATAATGACAAGGGTTAGTGTAGTTTTTCAAACGTCAAAGGTGATATGTATTAAATTCAAATCTCATGGAGTGCAAGTGTAGTTTACCCTAATTAATATTAAGTTTGCATATTTTTAGGCCTTGTTTGGCAACTACATATTTTAATTAAAAAGTTAAAAAGTCATTACAAGCTGTCACACTTTCTTTACTTTTCTACACATTTTTTCACAAAAATTCAAAAAGTTACTAAAATAGTTTGTTTCCAAATAAGGCCTTAGTGCGAAGGTCATAGACTGGGAGATGATGAGTCACTGTTTATGGCAAGAATCGAACTTTGAAAAAAAAAAAAATCCTAGTTTCATTTTCTTGTCAAAAAGGATCAAAAAAAAAAAAAATTACTTTTAAAATTTTTGCATAATTATAAAGTCTTGTATAAAAAACAAAATTTGTTATTTGAATATTTTATTTGATCATTATATCTTTTTTTTTTTCTTCTCTTCTTTTATAACACTCTCTTTTCACCAACTCGATGGTTTATCGCCTCTATCATCTTCATCATCTATCGGCGTCACTAATTCTCACTGTGTCACGATCCAAACCCGCCTCTATAGGTTTAGCATCGTAACCGGCCAGTAATCCTTGGACTACCGAAGGCTTCTGAACAAATTAACAAGATTAAGGGGCTAACGGAAGCAAATACATAAATATAATTGTCCAATGAGTTGTGCTGACTTATATGAAACGGAATATTTAAAAATTTTATATACAATAACTGGTAGTCAACCATACATTATACCCACACCATTAAAGTATTTTAAGTACAGCCAACGACATCAAATCAAGTCTTAAATAAACAGAAACCACAGAACTTAAACACAGGACGTTTCGGGAACCTCCACGTGAGGCACAATGGTTGGCTGACCACAAAACACAAATTCAGACAAAAGCCTTCAGGCTCGAGCTCCAAAATGCTCACCTATACAATATATATACACACAATGAGTTAAAGCCCAATGAATAACATTAAGGTAAAGGGGTTAGTGAAGAAATCCGAATATATCATAAGCAGAAAACAGGCCAGAGCATAATCATTCTCATATCAGAACATAATAAAAGTACATCCCATAGAACACATCACAGAACGTCTTCCGACTAGAGTAATCGTTCCGGATACCGATTAAACACATATCGCCACAATGAACTGGCTAACGAGATCTCGTAATTACTTGTATGTCATGGACCCACATTTTCATACCGTCCCCCATGACTTGGGACTATCTATGGATGCCATAATAAATTTCAAACTTAGAATATTCGTTCACGAAAACAGATATCATTTCGGAAAACAGACTTATAATATTTCATTTGGAACGTAATTCATATGAACGTATCGTTACAATAACGTTACTCACAGTGATTCCAACAAGCGGTAAAACATCCTCGAGTCTAGACCTACAATCACAAAATACATAACACAAGCATGTCTCATCATTAAACATTCAAGTGGCCATTAAGGCTTAGCTTTCATTACTTGGTTTCTTTCTTATCACAATGCTTAAAACACACACACTTGCAGTCTCGGAACTTGGTACATTCTTTTCTTAGTGTGTCTCTAATCCATAACCTCATTATTATAGCTTAATTAAGGCTTAGGAATGCCTAAGATGCAATGAGGATGCCAAAACATGTCTTGGAACACTTAGTCAAATTTTCTGAAAATAAGGTCCACGCTCGAGCGTAGTTTTCCTCGCTCGAGCGGACATGCAAAATGTGAATGGTCGCTCGAGCACACATTCCTTCGCTCGAGCGATCTGTAAAAGACATGAAACTTCTGGGAGCTTGCAATTCACGCTCGAGCTGACTTTTGGTCGCTTGAGCGGAGTGCACGCACTCAGATTGGTCGCTCGAGCGTGAACTCCCACGCTCGAGCGTAAATGCAAATTCTGGAATTTCCAGATTGCACCTTCAAGCTCAAAAATCGAATTCCAACCTTCAAAACTGTAATAACGCTCACGCTGTCCTAACTATACTCACATGCATTAATATGATTTGTCTTGTTAAACTTGCATTTCTAGTCTTGTCCTTGTTCGCTTATGTGTTACAGCATGCTTTGTACCTCACCCGGTGCTGGTCTAGCCGAGGTCACCCTGAGCCTAGGTCAGTTTTGACCTCTTGCGCCTAAGACCATCTTGGAAATTACTTTGGTTGACTCCACCGTCGCTCTGATATGTTGGCCGAGATGTCACTATCTAGGCCGAGGTATTCATCGCCGAGGCCGAGATGTGTATTATCTAGGCCGAGATGTTACCCTTGAACCTAAGTGACCTTATTCCTGGATTAGTACGACCTAAACCGAGGTGTGGCATAGCTAGGCCAAGTGTTGTCCT